TTAAGGTTTAACCAACTTCACGACCTAGCCTTAAATTTGACTAAAACTTTTTTAGGTTTACTAATATTTCATGTCAAACAACGGATGATTCAGTTTTTAATAAACCATACACCTCAACTTTCTAGGATTTGTTTTTTTTGTTTTTTTTTTGAACGTTTTCCTTAAAAGAACGTACAGTACATCAAACAACTACAGTAATACAGTATACCCCGGATTATTATATAAACTTATAAATTACTGTACTACTGTACCATACAACAGTGCTACACAATGTTATTATCGATATTACACAATGCGGCTCCCTCTCTCTCTCTCTCTGAATATTTACAACGATTTTGACTGCAACAATTTTCCGCAGAACGCTTTTTTTTTGGGTACCGTAGAGATCACCAATTACACAGGAATTCTCTACAGTAATGTACGAGGAAATTCTTTCTTAGAACGACTTTTTCTGGTCCCTTGAAATTAGTTGCAAGACGATTCCAGTCATAACTCTATCCTGTACAACTTCACTTATACATTATTATTTGAAGTCCGTTAGCAATCGAGCTGACGTTCAGATGGGCTTGACATCTATTCGACCCGGCACCCAGTCGCCCACAGGTGCAGAGGGAGGAAGCTACGACATCGTCGACAAAGAAGACTAAGGAAGACGAACGTCAGGCGTGGGAGGAGGGGGTGGGGGGGTTGCAACAATAGAAAATGCAGCCGAGAAATCAGGGGGTGGGGACAACAAGCAAGGTGCAGGTGACAAGGCGCAGACTATCGTGAAACGAAAGGCGGGTTCCGAAATCACGGCTCGTCGGCACGAAAACTTTTTCGGCTGAGGAATGCAGAGGAAAAGTAAGAGTATGTTTCACAAGCACGTAATATTTTTTTCTTTTCTTTTTTTTCGCAACAACGTTTCGTCTGGAACCAATAATTCAAAATTCAGAGCACAAAAAAGAAAACTTTCTCAACGATTCAGAATATTGTGCGCTCATCAATAACACGAATGTCGGTCGATTTATTTATGAAGGATACACCCTAAAATCATCAAAATTTGGTCATGGTAAAAAGCATTCGGATGAATTTTCGCGCATCGACTTTGTTCTTGAAGTACGACGCAAAAACAAAAACAAACACAAAAAAGAAGAATTTTACGTTGAAGAACTTCAGAGTACCGCTTCGAATTTTAGAAAAACTGAATTGAAGATTAATTTTGTGGCAAGCTGTGTTCATTGTTCAGAATTCGAACGCAAAACTGGATTTTACAATTCTCGAGCATTGAAGAATAAAATAGCCTGCATCTTAAATATAAGCACTTATTTCGTACAGAAAGTTTCGAGTGTTCTCAGCATCCCAGTTGATTTTTTTATAAGTGAAAATCCAATCATTATCTCATTCTTCAAAAAAAACTCTTCATACGCAAAGGATTAATGACAAAAGGAATAGTCAGCTGAAATCAATAGCATAAGAATGTTTTTCCAGCGCAACGTTCAAAAATGACGCCATTTCACTAGATAAATCCCATCTCAGGATAACTTTTTTTCTCTCTCTCTTGAAGAACACTACGATCTTGAATTTCCAGCACATCCGACAACCGCCGAAAGTTTCAGAGTATCATATTCGCTTCTTGATAAGACCCATTCGTTTCGTTCCACGATCCCGTTCTGAGCAAGAAAATCGATGGGTACAGTGCTGTACGTCCCAGGAAAGACGCAGAGAAACTTCATAAATCAGAGGTAGCAACAATTTCCTCTCAGGCATTGTTCCTGATCGTCGAGCTCACGCCGAATGACTTATTACGCTTATTCTTTCGCACCCTAGAGCAGAGCACATCATTCCGTGGCCCCGACAACAGAAAATCGATGTTCAGCCCATCATTTTTCCTCTCTCGCAATATTCTTTGCCACGAGATTTCAAAAATTCATTTCCGTTATTCCAGTTTTTTTCGGGATTGTAAGAATAAATAGAAACCAGTTAATGCAAAATAAATGCGTAAGACGGCGTGAGAACTGCAATTCGACGTCGGAACGGGCATAGGTATGACCATGCCAACGTGGCGCCGAGACAGTTCCGCGCGTATCAAAACGGCGTGTTGTGAAAACACCGCACGGCCAGAACTACGAGCATTTACAAAGTTAACAATAGCTTTAAAGAACTTCAGATCTGATTTCGAGACGCTCAAATATCTCATTCATTCTCGGAAAGTTTTTTTCAATAAGGTACAGTACCAGGCTGAAAAAAGAATTTTCTGGATTTTTTAGCTTAACACAGTTAAAACACATTTTTTCGAATATTTTTCATACCCTTAGAAACAATGCATTAAAAAACTTTATATCGCAAAGGCTTTCCTGATCAAACATCCCCAACTCAAATTTTCTGGAGGCTTTTTGGCTTTTATTTTATTGTCAAAAGGAAAGATCAAGAAAAGCAGTAAAAATATAGCGATGTGTTTTTCAAAGAATTGGAAGACAAATTGCGCAAATAAACTCCTGCATCCAATCACAGCATCCTGAACAGGATTCTACAGCTTCAATTGCTTCGGAAATGAGTTGACAGGATCGGGGATTTTCCACAGTGTAGAAAATCCCGGATCATTATTTCCTGCAATGCTTATGTCTTTCCCACGACACAAATGCTGGTGTCTTCTGTTCTTCAACTTTTCGCTGGTCCCTTGAAGTTCCCCTTACAGAGCTTATACTGTATATGAGTGATCTTTTGAGCTTGATGCCTCACAATATTACTCAGTTCAAGTACAGGTTTGGACTTCCCCCTTCCCCAATTTTCGCCACGTCATTTTGGATACATGCTGGTCTCAGACGCGTTTATTTCGGACAAGCGCCAATAACGGACTTACGATTTTGTGCACGCGCCATTTTGTGACGGACTCGACCTTCTACTCACGCAAAACGAATTCATAGATTTTTTTTTAAAGAACACAAATACTGTATTTTCCACACAGGGAAAATGCAACTCACGTTGAAGCATCGAGCGTCGAGAATATCCGGCAACGAATCCAAAGCACTCGTCTCATCTTTCACGGATCCTCCGATAAGTAACTCATCACCGCATCTCCGGATGCGGTAATTCTCAGTTCGGATTCTTGCAACACTTGCTACTTCCAAACTCATCAGCGATCTGTCTCTCTCGTCACTCGAACTGGACAACGAGTGCACAGGGGTCGCCATGTGTCAAAATAATGCAACACTAAAACTCCGTGTCTCTTTTACCCCCACGTTGAGCAAGAAGATAGGCACTTCGGTGGCATGGGAAATAGACTCGTTTCACTTCGTCACATTCTGGATGAAAATATAAAAAACCAACACCTGAAATCCGAATCCGCGTTAAACCCAAGCAAAGCTCTATATGTAAGCCAAAGGAATACTTGGACATTCAGCCTCCATCGCAAATAACTTTTTTTTCCTTCATCACACATACATTAACAAATATGCAAAAGCACTTTTCATACGCAGAAATTCCTTCCAATTTCCCCCAATAGCTTAAAATTATCCAATCATCCAGAAGAAATATTACTTTCACTTGAGCAGTTTTGGTCAAGATTTCAAAATGAACGACATCTTTCTGGCCTGGAATACCGCACATGAGTCATTTACTTACTAAACGTCACTGGGTTTGGATTGCCTTTGACGAAAGATAATTCCAAAGGAAAATGTATCAGAATCTATTGAAGTACGCAATACTTTAAATTTTTTATAAAAAAAAATTGAACTGTCATACACGTTTAGCAGCAATTGGTTCCAAGTTTCCGAAGGGAACTCAAAAAGTTGACCACAACCGAATGTCGAAATAAACTCAGGGAAAATGGAAAAGCAGATACTTTTTTTTCTGATCAATGCGCAGCTACTTAAAACAGCATATAAAAAAAGAGTAAGCAACATAATAGGATCACGAATGGTCCACACTGAATAGTCGTGCAGTTTCCAGTTGACTCTGAGCAATGTCATGCAATGCGGTTTGAATTTGTTCAAGAAGCTTTTCGCCACGTTTGACCACAGCTTCGAGCTTCTTCGCAGCTTCCTGGTTTTCCTTCTCCAGCGTTCGCAAAGAGGCGGCTTGTAATTCGCCAGATAGATCATCAGAGGGCAGGGAATCGATCAACACGTCGATGTCTTTGGCGGTTCGCGCGATGAGAGAAGCGAAGAGCTTGGCGTAGTCGTCAGATACGCCCTCCATGGGGTTCCCGGCGGAGTTTGGACCGGTTGGCGGAACCGCTGCTCCATTCGACCCCGGTAAGGCAGCCGAGCCGTTGGTAACACTGATGGCGCCATTTGTGCCAGCGAGTTTCCCACTCCTCTCAAATCCTGCGACATTTGTGAGTCAAGTTTAAAGCGTACAGTAATAATTTTCTTGAGTCAGAAACCCTGATACAGTACTTTCAAGCAAAGAAGAAAGCATCGACGTCCGGGAGATATAAGCGATATAAAACTTGAGCTTGTAATAAAAACGAAGGCAGTGATCCGTATTTCACAGAAAACCTCAATAACAATTTATTTGCTACCGGTTCTATTGTACAACTAGATGCCAAAATTTTCGAAAACATACGGCAATATATATTTCAAGGCGCAATATGACTCTTGCTTTTCAAACTAAATTGAAGTGTTCACAAAATGAAAATCTGGCGAATATAATGCACTTGCTCAATCATTTTGCGAGGCGTCAGAAGTTCATCTTATTGATATTGCAAATTATTCTCGTATGTACCATGGGTAAAATCCATACTCGACGAGGGCCAGGTTTTACATTGTGGCCTCCATGATCTCTTCAATTTGCCAGGACATACACTTGAAAATACGCGCATTTTTTTGAAGAAAAGATCACAATAAATAAGTTTCCTTCTAGACATGCATCAACATTCTTATTTCGACAACAAGCAGAAACTTGCCAGGAAATGTTGACGGTGTGGCATGTTGCTGAAGAATACCGATGCTGTTACACAAGTTTTCAGCTTGTCGATTGACAGCGTCTTGTAACTGCGTCAACCGATCAGCCATCTATCACATATACCCGAAGTTTCTCCTGTGAAAAATGAGCATTTTATTCAAAAGATGACACCAATCCGATCGGGAAAAATGCGAAAAGAATGTAATCAAATATTATCTTCATCACAGACGCCCCAAAGGTAAACACAATCCGAACATCACATCAGGAACAACCCGTAAAAATGTAGAAAAATAACTCAATCGCACCTCATAATTTAGCTTATGCGAATTTCACGATCAATTCGTTCAACTAGCTAATGTTGCCAAGTTTTCGACTCGCAATGCATCCGAAATGATGGAAAATCTCATCATCCAGTGCACAAAGGGTATTTCCTAAAATAATTGCATTTCGAGAGAGCGTCGCGCGGTAACACCGTCGTAGCCTCGTCGCAGTGCTGTAATGCCGTCACTCGAAACACTTGCGCTATAAATATTTCCGACTGGGCTGCCACTTCGACGTCCACGCCTCGGATGTCTCGATGCTGATGAAACCACGAAGTTTCTCCGAAGGCGCTCTCTCGATGGTCTCTGATGAAAATTTTACAATAAAGAATATTCTCCATCTTCAACCTGAACTTAAACGCATCCTCTTACTTTACTTCCAAAACGGATACCAATGGATTCGTGATGCACAAAATCTACACGAAACGTCAGATGCGCCTCATGGAAGACTGACAATACTGATGATCTAGTTGATCATATTAGATCGGAGACTCATACTTATAAATTTAATTCTCTCAAACTTTCCACATTTTAAAAGGAAAATGGAAAAAATATTCACCAGCTAATCGAGGTGGAGTCGGCAGGGATCAGTGAATTGAGCGGTGACGATGTAGAAAAGAGCGGGGATCGGTATCAAACCCAGTAAAGGGTAATGCAATGATGGCTGAGACATCTGTGTTAAACTAACAATCCCAAACGCAAGAAGGGCCCATTGACAACCCAAAATTGCGATATTCCTGAGCTGATTTACACTGCCCACAAGTAAAGACCTAAAACTTTGATCCGCTTTGCCTCCAAAATGAATGGCATTCGCAGTTAGCGCGATAAGTATGAGGATGTACGGAAAAGAGAAATCTGTAAGGGATAAAAAGGCAGGTCAGATCAACAATTCCTGGATAAAACCCCATTTTAAGTAACTCACAAAGCAGACCGCCGATCGCAGCATGACAAAAAGCGAGGACAGGAAGGAAGTACATCGCAATGTACACAGAGTTTCGTCCTTGATGAACTGGTACTTTCTTCAAAGTCAAAATGATGGGCCGTATCGTCAACATCATCACTAATGATAATCCATAGAAAAGTATCACCATTGTGTACCTATGGAAATAAATTCATCATACAGTATATGATTAGCACATTGAAACAAATATCCGGATACGATCAGCTTACAATGGATACACCGCTTCCTGTGTGCAATAAATCGTCTTCTCAAAATTGATTCGCGGATTGAAGAACACGGTATACCAATCCGGTAGACCTTTGACACCGCAAGACCTTAGCGTAAGAGATCCAATGGGTTCGTGCAGTATGAGCGTCAGAGCAGCCGCAATACAGACTTCGAAAAATGATGTAACGTGCAATATGAACGCATTGTCGAAGAATGACCTTGATCTGGAATGAACGATAAAATTTCAGATCGCGACAACAAAAACAGATTTTTCGGCAGAAACCTACACTAAAGATTCCATGCAGATGTCAATCGTAATGCCGTGTCCGATAAGCGCAAGTATAACGTTGAAGAGAAGATATGTCCAGTCGTAAAAGCTTGGCTCTCCTTTACACTCTTCGCAAATCGAAAAATTCGCGCGAAACCCTCGAGCACAAGCGCCACATTCGCTCCAACCCAGGAACTCCCCATCTTCTGTCAATTTCTTCATTCGACCACAGAACATACCGGGACACCGTTTGACTGCAGTCTTCAAATGGCTTATTCGGTAATCTTGTTCCATATCATCGGAAACGTGATATGGCTCATCTGCGGATAGAATTATAGAGAAAAATCCCATCAAAAATCCAGAACAGATATAACTGAAACACGAACCTTCAATTTTTTTGCTTCTGCCGCATTCGGCAAGAACCAGTATTCCAATTGCATAAATGATCTTCATCGCATATCGGATTCGGAACAACTCACGAGTGATGCCGCGAAATTTCACGCACAAAACACGAGTACCGATGCCCGTTGATATACTGTAATGCCGAAGCAATTGTAAATATGAGTCTCTCCAATTGGGTTAACAGTCATTTTCACGCTGCCCTCATGGAGCGCTATTCCCTTCCACTCCGTCCCTCAACGCCATGAATGAGTGACTTCATGAACTGCGCATGCTTGCAGATAGGAATTACATGTTCAAAAACGATGTAGAAAAAGAATTTAGGCATAGAATAAGTACAATACTTTACATGATTGGTTTGCCATCTTAATTGATGAACTTATATTCCGGGATGAAGTATTTGAATGCTCCACAATATCAAGGATGAATTGTGCCTCCAAATTGTGAAAAACACAGTAGCAGCATCAGTACAGGTTCTATCCCTGATGTACACTAGATAAATTCAGAAATGCATCGAAAATTCATTTCTGAATTTTTAAAGGTTTTGTGCACTTTTAATTTGATCAAAGTCTTCAGACTTGATGATTCTTCCAAAAAACTGCCATATTTGCATGCAACTTTGATTTACTGTAATAATGTAGTATTGCATATATATTTATATGTGTATGTACAGTATAAGTGTTTATATGCAGTGCATTATACAGTATTTCTTTATGTACAGTATATTTATTTATTTAGAGTATTTGACTGGTATAAACACTGTTCAAATACTGTAAATATATACATTCCAGCAGTATGAAGACTATTTGAAGAATTTTAAAAACCATAACTGTACATATTTGATATTAAATGTTCTTGACTTTTTATTCACATAATTTGCACAATGGTATTTGGATATTCAAACTTTTTCATTTATTTTGAAAATGGTTTTTTAAATATTTACACCATTATTGGTCCATCAGAGTTTCCCTAGATAATATATATTATTTATTTTAAAACTATTTTTCATATTTACACTGTTAATCATCCCACCACTCCCTGTAAATTCTACACCACCAAACCATTGCAGTTGAAGTCACTTAATGAGCGACTGGTGGAGTAGAAGAGGTAGCCCTGATCCCTGAATAGAGTGGAGTTGAGTAGAAGTAGTACCATAAGGTCACATCACAAATTCGGCATCTTGGTATTTCAGGTTCGACATTGAGAAATCCAGTTAGTTTTGAACCTTGCACATGTACAACAACGTAGATGTAACTCATCTTTAATATACTGTAATGGGTACGGCATCATTTCTGGTACTTATAACTTTTACGCAGCCATTGATAACCCTGGAATTCTTTCCTTCACTGAAGAAATCAGTACCTTCTGAAGGTCAATGAAGCACTACGCCACGGTGCATTTTAAGGTTCAGGATAAAACTGCCGGCATTAACCTTGTCTTGTACATTGTCCGACAGTTCCTCAGAACGTTCTCCTTCAGACGTATTATAAATACGAAGATTTTTAAAAATGTTTGGCCCTGCGACCTTCGATTGATTTAGGAATGGAGCGAGGCACAGATTCAAGAATCTGTACAAACAATTCGTCACAGAGTGCGAAACAGACTCTTGACTAGCGAGTCAATTCACCTCAGCATCGAGGACCACCAAATAATTTTCACTTTTTATTATTAAAACTGACATTATTCTTAGAGATGTGACTGGCCCAGCCAATCGTGTGCCACACGGATTGAGTGGGACCTTCTTCGCATGCTTCGACCTCAAAAAAATCCTGCACTTTATTCAAAACCGTACACAATACAACAGACACTACAAGCAATTTTTAATAATCGCAGTACCAAATGGAAAGCATCAAATGATGAGAGTCGCCAATCGCGGAGAAGAAGGGGTTCCGTCATCAGCGAAATCCTCGATCATTCCATAGCTCATGATTTTTTTCACTTCACGCATGCAAAAACAAAATATTCGTCCAAAGATGAAAAAACTATTTTCCCCACGTACGTATTGCTTGTCAAGATACTCAACCCATGTCGCGACGCATCAAAAAAATCAATTGAAAAAAACTGACGTTTTTAAACCTGAATTCAAACTACTGCAGGTCAGTTCACACTAAAAATCCTTGCCGTCCAGAAATATATACACTTGAAAAAATAAACCATTCAGGAAAACTGGAAAAGCTTTAGTCCTTTAGAAATAGTCAACATTTTCACGATTGCCTCTTCAAACGTTCCACCAACGGCATCAAAATAAAACATAATTCTCACGTAAGCATGGCATCATATGCAAACAATCCTTAAGTTCCGTTTGAATAAAATGAAATTCGAAGCGAGACAAAAAATCGTCAATGAAACGATCAGACCGTAAAAAAAAAATTATAACTTGCCCGATTTGAAGGAAAAAATATCTATCGCACATCCGTCACGATTTTTCCATGCGATATCCCCGAGAGAGAAGTTTTCCTTTTGTACTCATCAAGTATTCAATTTCCTTCGTCCACTTCCCATTCGATCTTAAAACTCGAAAAATAAGGAGAAACAATGCAAACGAAGGTCGAACAAGGCACGAAAAACCTAAACAGCTTGGATCTTTTCTTTTTTCGAGGAATAAAAAAATCACACACACTAAGCAATAAATTAATTCGAACGGTTGCTCAGCCCCATTCAGCTCTCTTAAAAATAAAAATAATGACAGAATTCGAAAAGATTCCTAAACGCGATCCTTAAATGTAGTCGAGCTGCAGTTCATATATTTCCTGGCACTTGAAATCCCCTAAATTTGATTCGAGGCAAATCATTTCTGCATCGTGATCAAACCTGTGCCTTATTCATGAATGCTTTTTCGACAAACCAAAAGCTTGTTTACGCAAGAAAAAGAAAAAAGTCAATGCTCAACATTCCTCTTTCGTCCAAGGTCATCGACACTCAGTTGGCACCTGATTCGGCGTCTTGAATTCTCTGCAAGAAGAAAAACTTACTTGAACATCGGATCACATCTCCAGCTTGACGGAATCAGCAAGGCAAATTCGTTTATTTTCATCCAAAAAGTTCTTGGGCGAACAACTGACCTTGGAAATACGTTCTAATTCACGGATCATCAAATTTTGCACAACCCGTAGTTCGGGAACCGTAAGCCTATCCTGAGCAGAGAGCATGTTCAGCAAGCTCGCACTCTCGTTCTGATTGCCCAAATTCTGCGCCAATTGTTCCATATCTTTCTGTTGCAAGTACAGCTTAACCAACGCCTAATAAACATGACCAAAAGTTCTGACTTTTTCGAAATGCATAAAACCGTGATTGTCTTTCACCTCTTCCTTAGCTTGACGCTCCCTCTTCAACGTTTCTTTCGTCGTTTCTACTTCTTTCTGCCATGCGTTACACGCTTCTCGGGCCTGAGCGATTCTACCTTCCCAAGAAGCCATTTTCGTTCGGTTTCCATGAAGTTCTTCCCGCAATTTAGCAATCTCTTGTTCCTGTGTTAATGGCGTATTACTTGGTGGTGGATACTGGCCCGACATTGACGTTGGAAGACTTCCGAATCTCATTGAATTCGGTGACTGCAAAATAATATTTCCGCGGGTTTCAAGCGCCAGATAACGCGAAAATTTCATAGAATAGTAATTACCTGCTCCTGAACATTTGATTTCCCCGTAGTAACCTGGTTAATACTACTTTGTCTCGGAAACCCTGGCGGGACAGAAGGAGATCCTATACTGACTCCAAAATGATTTCCTGACCCCATGACCGGAGATTCACTCGACCAAAGTCCATAGGGCAGACCTGATGCTGAAGTCGGAATCGACATTGGTGCGCTTCCACGCGGAAAAGATAATCCTTGTGGTCTAATAGAATCTGCTTCCAAATCCAATGGGTGCGTTGACACTCCAAAAAAAGGATCATCCACTGTCATATCATCTATTTGGCCTACGGAAATAAAAACATGATTTGAAAGTTGTATTGAAACACCCACAGACAGGGTAAATCTAAAAACGTAACACCCGCGAAACAGATTTTAGCAGTTCAAAATACGTCTTTCAAAATATTGTACGCTTCGATCAATGCCAATCGAATCTACAGTACTGTACTGACATTGAAAATTTGGCTAAATCGAGAGATTGAGTTAATCATTAGCTCTAAAGAAATCGGAAAGACCCGCTTCCAGATTTTCGCCTGAATTTAGCTTCTTGAAATTTTCGAAACGTTTACTGAATAACAAAATACCATTTCCCAGTAAACCCTATAGACACTGAAAATAAGTCTTCCAGCATTCGCAGGAGAATAAATCCATCCCATCAGCAACAACGGGAACACGGTCGTTTTGAAGAAACACCTCCCTTCTACTCGATCTTCGAATGATCCATTGAAAATTTACTCGATTACACACCCGTTATCCCATCGAGGGGATTAAAAGCTGTGCATTGAGAGAAAGGCGATCCTGAAAATGATCCTCTGCCAAGAAATCCACTGTAACTCATTCCCTCGAGTCCGCCTGATTCCAATCCACCGAAGAGCGATCCTTCTTTCGCAGATAGCTGTCTCCTTCGATTCGCCTAGAACGATACATCCATCGGAACATGAGAAATACTTTCAACATACAGTATTTCTACAACTACGGTATTACTTCTCGTTCACCCCGTTCCGAGCCGGGTGCTTTGGAATACGACGACGACATAGCAACTTCAGGAAAAGCGAGAATATCTGGACTAGAAACTCCTCCATTGTGCCTCGCATTCGAGTCCATATCACCGAATGGTTTTGCAGGCAACACCATCGATTCAGAGAAATTCGTCGGCTAAACGTAAAGCAGAGCATTAAAAAAGTGCGTCAAATCTTGATAACCGGGATATTCTTCAATCATGCGAAGAATAAACATATCTTCAAGGGAAGAAAAAAGAAAGAAAAAAAATATATCTCTTGAAAAAATAAAAACTTTCAATACAGTAACTGAAATCCCTAGTTTCCAGTTAGAACAAATAATTCCTTTTTGAAATCAGGCTTTTGAAGGAACAGAAAGCACCGAAGACAGTCGATTTTGTCAATTCTCCGCGCTATGGCATTTGAACGAGCACAAAGCGAATTTTTCAATGATCTCAAAAGTTATGATGCATACACGGATGAAAAAATTTTTGAAAAGGTAGAATATCATACCAAAGAAATTATCCCGGAGGATCCTCCCGAAGGTCGAATTGCGGGAGAGCTGACGGGCGTTGCTCTATGACCTATTGAATTGGACCTTGGAACCAGTCCCGGAGGAGCGGCTTGGGGCACACCCGGCTTCTTTGATGGTAATCCTCCAGAAATGGGCTCCCTGTTAGGTAACGACGACGACAAGTACCCGTTCGTTGAAGCGTCATTATTCGAATCCATCTACGTAGAAACACGTCAACATATGAAAAAGCAAATCAAGGGGCGAGCCGAAGTGCAACGAAAACGTCAAAAATACACTCGCCTCCAAATGCTGAGATTTCTGCAATGATGGATTAGAAACATTTTCAGCTGCATTAGTCCCATCACCTTCCTCTTTTTGCGATCCTAGTGCTGAAGAAAGCAATTCTCCCAGCGATGTGCCACCTTCATTGGCAGCCTACAACCCAAAACGCAACTCGGTTTGAATTCGTATTATAAAGATACATGTTTGCTCGGAAAATGCTCGAATCAAACGTTTATCCTGGGGAGGACCACCTCACTTTGACATCAAATGAAGCCGAGTTAAATTTAGGCATGTAAACAATAAAAAGTTTGATACCGTTGACGCGACACAGGTGATAACAGAAAATTACAATACCAAATCGTTCGAGTCTGCATTCAGGAGATACTATATACTGATTTTTTTTTTTTTTTGCATGTCGTGATCGGCTTTTGGTAAATTTTACACGTTTTTAGTACAAGCGTCAAACAAGTATATGTCTTCCATGAAACACTCATGCATCAATGAGTTTATTCTTTAAAGCACTCGATCACAGCAAAGAACGCAAACTCACAGGTGCGTTTCCTCCACGGGCTTTCAAATCCCGCGCTAGTGTCACTTCTTTGTCAGCGTGGGCGAATGCACAGAAGACACCTCGAGGGCAATATGCCTGCGTGTGGATGTCGTAGCAACGTGAAGATTTGTAAATTTCAGGATGGAACTGCTGTTCACTACGGGTATGACAGTACTGGCACGAATCACCGGCGTCGCACTGCGACGGGTCACCCCATTCATCGCCGCTTTTCACATTTGGACACGGCGTCGACCGGTATTTGAACTTCGTGGGACATCTTCTCCTATCCTGTATGATTGAAGGAAATCAAGAAGGAAAGGCATCACTAAACTGATAATGACAAATACAGTACAGCAGAAGACTTAATTATTGTAGTGAACAATAAGCGAAGCGCAAACCTTTGGATGCAACTTCTTAAAATTCCATGACCATACTATCTCTGCTATGCGAGAGCATTCTCTTTCAAGTTTGTGTCGTGAACAAAGAATGATATTTTAATTTCTCACGGGCTTTTAATTGAACGGATTGCGGTACGGTTACTCACCCACACACGGTTATTGTGATAGTAGGGACACGCGTAGCCCTGTCTGCACTGCCTTGGATGTTTTTTGCAAATTTCAGTCTTGTAATTACTCAACACGTACGAAACATCAAGCCATTTGGGATCGTCAGTCATCATGTTGCGTTCTTTATCCAGATTATTTGGACCGCACAATGTTCCATTGCCGTTCTCTAGGAATTCTCCTTTTTCGTTCGCTTGCATTTCACGAATATCAAATACAGGTTTCCTAAAGAAATAAAGATTGTAGCCTTTCTCTTTCATATTAAAGTCCTCGGGGTTACCGTAAATCTGAAGGTCCATGAGCAAATGCACAATGTGGGCCGTTTTTGACACAGTGTCCCCGACTATCAGTATCGTGAACACAAACGCAAGTTTTGTAATACCTAAGATGGTATCGTCTCTCAACGTCACCGGCGACACGATGAAGCGAAGTACACCTTAGAAAAAAAAATCATAAGTTTAAAGCTTTGAACCCACAAAGGAATGACGTAAAAGCACACTCACTCATCGCCATCAGGACACTTCCCCTTCTGCTCGTCATATTTTGTACAATAAAAATCAGGACTGTAATTGAAAGTCCCATCCCTTTTCTTCATGGGTCTTCTTCTTCGGTGACTCTCGTAATGCCAGTTGAAGCAGGTGTACGGGCGATGATAACTGCATTTGTGCTGCACGAACAGAGGACATTGCTCCACGCGGAAGTTTTTCAAGTACCTACGTTCGAAATTAGACTTATGTGAATCAAATAATAATTTATCAGATGCCTTTTACTGACGCAAAATGATTCGGTTTCTCCGTGGTTTGCGCATTCGCAACAGATTTGAGGTCTGCAGGCTGCATTTCACACGAAGTATACCTTCACGCTCATGAATTCGTCTAGCCCGCGAAAAATAGACGCGACTCCTGAACAAGGTACGGGCTAAAACGCAAGAGAATACATTGGCTGAGGAGATTGAGATACAGGGTAGTTACAAATCGATTATGCGCACATTTGTCAACGAATCTGAAACGTTCCGGAACACTCGGGAAATCCTCAGGCCCTTTCAATATTCTCCACTAGAACTAAAAATGCATACAAATTAAACGGCGAACGATGACATTTTCAGAAAGTAATACGCATAGCAACGCGCGTCAGTCAGTCATGACGCAGCATGCAACTTCACCACAGCTCTGAAAGACCGCCGCCATGTTTGAAATAATATTCCCTCATGTCACAGCAGCGTTCGTATTAAAATTTAAATCACTTCTCATCTTCAGGTTTAAGTCGGAGAATTTTCCGAGGACGTGGTTCACTTCTACGAACTTGCTCATGAATGCATTTCACTATCACCTCCTGTCTAGATTTAATCTGCTCCTATAAGCTGAATTTTCAGTTTTCAGCGTTTATTCAGATTTATAGTGCGCATGATTGGTGTAAAGTACAGTAATTTACTGAACAGTTATACTGTACAATATTGTACAATACTGTATAGTATCACCCTTTTTTAGGTTGCTTATATAAAGTAACGGTAGGTGTCGTTACTGCGTATCTATGCATTAGAGTTACAATGTTCGAGGGCATCGCGAATGCCCAACAAGAAAACCTCACTGCTGTCTCAGAAAAGCGGAACCCAAAGCGGAGCTATATCTAACGACTCAAACCTAACGCAAACTAGACCAAAACGAAAAGTCACAACCAAATCTGGTTTAACCAAATACAAATGTATTTACTCGTGTGCTCCGTCTAATTTCAGATGTTAATTCGACAATGTTTATTATCAAACGGTTCGGGGCACCGCAGGCTCAGGATGCTGTATAGGTACCTACACATAGTTTCAGTAAAACTCGATTTTAATTTGAACGACACCTACATGATACGTTGCGAAACGTACACTTTATGTTCGGAAATGGGTGTGTATCAAAATTTGACTTCGAGTTAATTTCGCGGAACTGCGTTGCGTTTCATTGAATAACTTCTCGTATTTCTCTCGTGAAAAACGATTATATTGAGATAATGGTGGTCATGTGCACTCCTGTTCTCTCTGCTGCTGGAGATAACGTATGTGATGCGGTGATTATGTTCTAACTGCATGTGTTATCTGTTTGTCTAAATTCTAGATCTCAAGTGCGGCGGATATGCGGTATGATCTTCCGGCTTCCGTTTGTCCTGGGCAGCAAATGCTTTAAACGCATTTGTTCCGCGCCTAATCGTTTGAAGAAGAAAGTCTCAAAGCGTCACGGACAACACTTCGCCCATTGTTTGTTCCTCATCGCCTTCGTTTCCTCGTTCGTTTGGTTCTCCCTGAGAACTCTTAATGACGAACATGCCAATGATTTCGATCCCTTTGAAAGATACGGGGTATTTATTGCAATTTTTCTTTACTTCTGTCGTATGATACCACTTTTAGCCTTGCCAAATGTTCTATTCAACCTAGCGGGTCAGATTCGTTACTGCATTTTTTCTGAACCTGTCGTTCAGTTGAGTTTAATGCCTCCAAACCCACCGCACATGAGAATTCGGGTGGTTACTCGCGGTGACTTTCCTGATCTCGTGAAGCGGAACGTTTCCAGGAATGTATCGACTTGTGTGTCCGCCGGCATTCCGAATTTTGCTGTCGAAGTCGTCACAGACAATGCCATTAGTATCTCGCCATTGTCAAGTCATCCCACTGTTCGCTTACGTGAGATTGTTGTTCCGCCGAGCTACAAGCCAAAATCTGGTGCGCTTTTTAAAGCTCGCGCGTTGCAATACTGCTTGGAAAACGGTGTGAATCAGCTCGATGACGACGATTGGATTGTGCATTTGGATGAAGAAACAGTGATGACGGAAAATGCTGCCCGTGGAATCTTCAATTTTATCGTCAACGGAAAGGCTAAAATCGGCCAAGGTGTTATCACATATGCGAATGAAGAAATTGTGAGTTGGATAACGACCCTAGCGGATTTGGTTCGTGTCGCTGAGGATGTTGGGAAGTACAAGTTCCAGTTCAAGAACTTCGAAAAGCCCTTATTTGGTATGAAGGGTTCCTATGTAGTTACTCAGGTGCGTATCACAGTATTTCTTTATCCTTTCGTGCTTATAATGCGTCAGTCTACGGATTTTTCAGGTTGCTACAGAGCGTGCTGTGAGCTTCGACAACGGTAAAGATGGATCTGTCGCGGAGGATTGCTATTTTGCGCTTATTGCTTCCGCAAAAGGTGTTAAATTTGGCTTTATAGAAGGAGAGATGTGGGAAAAGTCGCCTTTTTCGTTTTATGATTTCCTCCAGCAAAGGAAACGGTGGATTCAAGGGATTTCCCTTGTTGTCCATAGCTCAAAGGTTAGTTCTAATATCAGTATCGATGAGCATGAGTGCTGCTACTGTGTATGGGAAGAAGCGTGAATTAGCCTTCAATTTGAAAATTGAAGCTGTTGAATTTAAAAATAAAAATTGCTTGATCGAGTGTTCTATTATACAGTAATTCTCTCGGAAGTAAGAATGGCGAATTTTTGCTGAAAAAATATTCGAGTAATCATCAGGGGGTGATATTGTCCATGCTCAATTTCATGAAAATTACCGTGAACCAGATTTTGAATAAAAATACGTGCAATGTTTCCGCGAAGTTCTAACCAATGGTGCGCTGCACACTTTAACGCGGATCGAGAAAGTACTGTGTCCGATTGTTTTTCAACCAATTCATTTTAAAAACATATTTTTCTCCCCCTTTTAGCTGAGTGTTCGCAGAGTCCTATACAAAAACGCTGTGCCCCATGGAAATGAATATTGTTTGTGCAAAAGAAGTGAGATGAAATATAAAATATAAATATGGAAACGTTATCATTTAAAAATTATTGTACCCCATTCAACATTTAGTTAGTAAATCTCAAATGGAACTTTATATTTTTTCAATGAGGTGTTCTAATTTGCAGGTTCCTATGTCGGTGAAATTCTTGCTGGCGCTGAACCTGTACGTGTGGATTTGCCTCCCGTTGTGTACATCCAACATTGTACTGGCAGGTATCGCTCCCGTCCCATTACATCCGGTCGTCAGCTTTCTTCTGGCTTTAGTTGGAGCAGGAAATCTATACATGTATCCGTGCGGGTTTTTTAGAGCCTTTCCTGTGAAACGACTCGGCATTTTTCGTGCTGTAGCTTGTCTCTGTGGACTTGTTTTGGTTATCCCGATGAACGTTATTGTTGAGAACATTGCCGTAATATGGGGCATCTTTGGCTATAAGTACAAGTTTTACGTTGTCAAGAAGGAGCCGATTTCGCAGGTCCTTGTGCAAGTATGATCTTTACTGCATTCCGTCGAGTTATTCTCACATTTTCTTGAGAGGCTGTGAGAGCGTTTAATCGAAGGAAGCTCTCGCGTTTCCTCCGGTTTTTTTTTTTTTTTTGCACAGACGGAGCTTAAGTTTTGAAGTCATTGTTTGTAACGGTCTTTTTTTTGGCATGGTATTGCCGCGTGGTTTTTGTGATTGAATGTGTGCGCACTCCTTCGGGACCTCATGATGCCGTTGGTATGATGCATTCTTTTTCATAGATTCGGAGTTAGGCATTGAAATGTTGAGATCATGTGAGCGAAAGCTAGTCAGAATTTTCTTTCTGAAGCGTGTACTTTGTTCATAAACCTGTTGGCCCCATGCTTTGTGTCGCTCATTTCCGGATCGAGCACACTTTTGAGTTCTGTTCTCCTTGTGATTCGAATATGCAGTGTCTTTTTAACTGTTGAAACTGCTCGACCTGGGAGAATTTAGTGAAACTGCCACATCATTCTGAACAAAAACGTAATTTTCAGTGATTTTCTGAAAATTTACGAGAATAAATGAGCAAAAGTATACTTGAATTTCACGCAAGAAAAAGCTCCGCAGAAGAATCTTTGAAGTCTTCGTAGAATTGTCTCCTCACATGAGGTATTCACTATCTTGGATTCGTTTTAGGCATTTCCGATTTTTTCGTGCATTTACATACAGGTATTCTGAATCCCCCCCTTTTTTTTTTAAATCAAGACAGAACGGCTTGCTCGAATTCAAATCTGCGCTAAAGAAGTACTGTCATTTATTTTATTGTCCGCATGTATGGTGACACAAGTATGAGAAATGTTTGATATTTTTTCGCGTGAACTGTGTCACAAGTACTTGAATATGAAAGCACATCGGTTAGTCAACTCATGTTGTGCTTACTCGCGATCATCTGATACTGAACGGAATCTGAAGTTGCTGTCGCGTCCTCGCACTCATTAAATTATAGTGAAGTTATTTGGTGTTTTCTTATTAATCAGCATTGAACACCCCTCGGAATTTCAGGCTTTTCAAAGTATTGTGCTGATTTCAGATCAAGTCTTCAAGTAAAATTATCGGTAGTGAATAAAATGGCCACCATTCCTGCATCTCCGAAGAAAGATGGAGTGAAGAAGTTCTTCGCGGAAAAATGGAAAGTTCAAGATGAGCAAATGGATGGATATTTGTCAAAGCTGGAATTGCTTTATGCAAAGAAGTGAGTACAGTACCTTGCTTTCTTCGAGGTAGATGACTGTTAGTAATTCTACTATGCGTCAATTCGTAAATTTTCAGACTTTGGCATCAGTTGACGCAAACCATCAACGAAATGCTGCAGATGCCGGCAATGAAGGAGAAGAAAAGGCTTGTTGATCTTTACAAGCATTTTGTTTCTGACTTCGAGATGAAGTGAGTGAATTCATGGATTTTTTCCTCAATTAGTTTTAATAACCCATCATTTTCCAAGGATGAACCCGTTGTCGCTGGTTCGATTCATCTCAGAAGTGATCAATCAAATGACAGACCCCCAAGATATCGCGACATTTTTGCAGAAAACTGAACAGAAGGTGAAAGGTAATCAAGAGGCCTTGCTTTATACGAGAGTACTCCTTGGACAAGTTTATTTGCATCGGATGAACGATCAAACAAAGACAAAGGCATGTAACATCGGATATCATTTTTTTAATATGTGAGGTCTGTCAAATATGTAAAATTGTCTTCGACGTCCGCAACAGGATCTTGTTGCTCAATTGGAGAAAGAAGTCGACGATTACGATGGTGTCTCCGCGGCCCATGGTGTTTTCTACCAGCTTTCTTCAGACCTCTATCGTCTCCAAGTGCGTCGGCAGAAAACAAAAGCGTTCAGTTAAAATTCATATCCTGATTCAATCATTTTTTCGATCAGGGACGTCACGCCGAATACTATCGAGCTGCGTTGAGATATTTAGGCTGCACAGATCTCGAGCAAATTTCCGACGAAGAGAAGAAAAAGCGAGCTTTCTATCTGGGTCTTGCAGCTCTTCTGGGCGACGGCGTTTACAACTTTGGGGAGCTGGTAAATTTCTCCATCCGAGCGTATTTATGAAAAAAAATTTATTGAGAAGATGTGAAATAGTCGCAAAAATTTAGAAAATTTTTCATCGATCTATTTTTTTCGCCTAGTTTTAACTCGTGAAAGTTTTTCGGGAAGTTGAGCGCGTCAATACTTATGAATGTGGCAAAATAATCTTTGGCTAAGTACTTGAATCTGCAAGAGATGCATAACTGATGTTGGGGATCTTCGTTTCTCTCATTTAAACGCGTGATGAAGCAGGAGAGTACAATTTTAATAACGCGTTAAATTTAAAACACGAACGCTATTGCAACACTTCATCTTTGCTAACTCAATTTGTCGAGTTTTTTAAGAACTCGACGTTGGTCTAACTGGACAGTTTTGTTTTTGTTGTTTTTCTTGATGGACGTGTTATTGTTAAACATCGCGGATTTTCATCTTGCAGTTGGCGCATCCGATATTGGATAGTCTGAGAGGGACAGAAGAAGAATGGGTGATCGACTTGCTGTATGCTTTCAATTCTGGAAGTCTAGAAACTTTCGAAAAATTGAAGCCGAAATGGAGCCAGCAACCGGACCTTGCATCGAAGACCATCAGTTTAAAACAGAAAATTTGTCTTCTGTGCTTGATGGAGGTGAATTCTAGAAATAAAATTGTTGGAACGTATTTAAATATCTTTTCGGAATTAGATGACCTTCCGAAGGCCAGCGAACGCCCGTCAAATATCCTTCGCCGAAATCGCAAAAGAGACCAGATTGCCCGAGGACGAAGTTGAGCTGTTGGTTATGAAAGCCCTTGCTCTAGGTCTTCTCAAGGGTTCTCTGGATCAAGTAGCTGCTAAGGTGAACATGACCTGGGTTCAGCCTCGTGTACTAGACAAGAAACAGGTATATTTTTTGCACCCGAATCCTTCATTGTATTTTTATTGACTTATTTTCTACTTGCTTCAAGATGGCCAATATGATGGATAGGTTGGAACTGTGGTGCAAGGACATTCAGTCGTTGGAGGGTCAGATAGAAAAGCAAGCCGAAGATATCCTGACGTACTAAAGCCAACATCGGTTCTCCGCGTTTGTGTAAATCCCTGTTTGCATGATGTGTGTGTATCTCATGTTTCAAAGTTTCCGGATCAACGATTTAAAAAAATTGGAACGTCCAACAGTAAAAACAAAATGATCTTTTATTCTCCCGCATTTTTGTAACGCCTTATGTTCATCAACTTGTCAACTGGAAATAGCTTTTGGCGCGCTTCTTTCGATGTCATCTGTAATCTGCGCATCGAAACGTTCATGTCCAACAACTCGTGAAGAAGTTCAATTATGAATCCGAAGAAAAGTTTGAAAGTGACAGTAATTTTGGCAAAGTGAAGTAACGAGGAGTTGAGCTTATTTTCGGGAAAAACGGCCACGTCCAAGTGTGCTGTATCGTCGTCCTGCGGATCGATCGAAATCGAAATTTGCGAGGTCGTCGGTGAATTCGGAACTGCTGCCCTTGTCTTCATCGCTACCTGTTTGAGTTCGCAAGGCGTTGCCACGCAATGGAATTGCCGGACCCAGAGCGCTTCTCAGATTCCTGTGGGCAAAGTTCAATTCTTTTTTCAGATCTTGGCTGATTTGCATTATTTTGAGTAGGAGCCGGTAAATGATAAAAAATTCTCAAGTCGTAGTTTTTCAGAGTGATATACAGTATTGATTTCCGTGTCCACGAACGGTGTAAGACATAATTCCTCGTTTCCCTCACTTCAGAAATGAAAGCGAATGTAACATCATTTACAAATAATTGAATTCTCTGCGGATTAGAGGTCTGTTAATTGACCTTGTACTTCAGTTACCAGCCTAACCTCAAGCATTTCTAATTAATGCCAGGATTCTAAACCTCGTGCTCTAAAAAAAATGAATTACGATTTTTTTTTTTTCCATTTGGGATCATTTGTATTCAGATAGGTGTTTTGTCTTTCTATAAATACTTGAAAAACGTTTTTGTTTCAATTGTGCCTGAAGGAAAAGAATTGCTGAATTTAAATTTTAAAATGGCGTTCTCCTCTTTAAAAAAAAAGTACCTATAGTCCATCTTTAATTTTTATCGTATACATAATCCTACAAGAAATCAGGAATATTGTGCAAAGGTGACATTTCCATTACAGTATTCCGATCGAAGGAAAATTCTGCCGGAGTAAATATTTGAAGCATTGTTTTTGTCCAGGTTTATTAATGACCGGATTACTTGCGGAGACACAAGGTAAAGAATATAAAAAAATTTTAAAATGAAAAATGAAAAAAACTCAATTTATAATTTTATAAAATCACGACAACATGTTTAGACCACTGCAGTTTAATCTATTTTTTTTGTGGAAAATTCTATGGAATTTGAACCCAATTTCTCACTTGTAAGTTCGACTGTCGAAAAGCTCTCGGGGGAAACCGTGTCCAGTTCCGTAAACTGTTCTGAAGGTCGGTCGCCGTCCAGCAACGTCATCTGGCGGATAATTTGGGGATCTGAGTGAGTCGGAGGTGCTGCTTGCTGGCCACGAGTTCGGTTGACGGTCAGGTATTCTGAAAGGATGTCCTCTGCGATACGACTGGTAATCTCTGTTACTTTCGTACGGAAGTCCGGCTGCATTCAAGCTTGATGCCCTGTATAAATGAGGGAAATTTAAGTAAATGAGATTCAGTAGCGTTACCTCAACAATCTAGAACACGACTCAATGGGGAATTTCTCGAGAGACAATGTTTGAGTAGCAAAATTGAAATTGAACTTCAAGCAGCTGAAAAAAACGTATTTTGATGCATAGTGGAAGGTGTTACTGGTGGACTCTCCCTGCGAAGAAATTCTCTCTGCAGGGTTTTTTTCTGGTCCCCTGAAATTTGTCTGAATGGGGCAGTGTTCCCCAACCTTTTTTGGGTCTACAGACTGGCGAATTTCCGTTAAAAAAAATTTTGAACAGGCAAATTTCGGCAAAATTTTCTGCAGACTAGCTAAGTTTCATAAAATGTTTGCAAACTAAAAATTTTTTTTTAAAGGTTTGGTTTAAAAAGTTTCTGCTTTTTTGCGAAAATTAAGTTAAGAACCAATAAATCAGCTATAGAGGAATTTCATCAATAAAATTGGAAAGGTGGGCTTGAAGAAATATTTTGCAGAATGACTAATTAGAATAATTTCTTTCAGCAGGTTACAATTTGTCTGAAGTGCTATTAATAGAAAAGCCAACTTTTGTTTTTATCAGATAATTTCAACTGCCATGGTCTTTTCAAAATTTCAGATAGAGATAACAAACTTCATTGTTATTTCTGATAAATTTATTATGCTGAAGAAAATTTCTGGCAGATCAGCAAAAAACTTCTGCTGTGGACCATGAGTTGGGGAATGCTGTTATAGACTATATAGAGAACCCTTGAGAATGTGGGGAAAGAACCCCATGGTACCAACAAATAAAAAAACCAGAGAAAATTGCTTCAGGCAAGATTGTTGTTGTGAGAGAGAGAGAGAGTCTGCCTGCAGTGAACAAAATTTAACAAATTGTAAGCCATCACCTTGTCCTTGCAATCCCAACAAGTTTTACATTTTTATTTAACCCTATTAAATCGTGTAACACTCCCATTTGAGTAGAAGGCTCAGACCAAGATTTTTATAACCCAAAATTTGCCTAAAAACCTGCCCTACTGTAAGACCCACACCCCAGTTATTTTTGGCTGGAAAAATTTTTTCCCAATAAAACTTGTTAATAGAAGAACTTTATGAACAAATTAAAGCATGGATGATTACGTATTCATTCGTGCAAAAACTTTTTATCTTCCTTTTTTTCATCTGAGACTAACTTCTGAATTCTGACACACCATAATGACTTCATGTTTTTTTTATACAGTCCACCCCCGATAGACCGCCCCCCGTTAGACGGCCACCCTCACCTCCCGCCAAGTTTTTCCTGGAAACAAAACGTCCCAACCTTGAAAGGATGGGACAACCCGGATAAACCGCCATCCGCCAACATTTTTTTTCCCTCCAAACCTGCTCCCAACATTTATTTTTCCCTCTTTAAACCGCCAACTGGTTTCCTGTCTCCCAGCCAGGTTTTTGTATTTTGGAACCTGGTTTTCTGGTTTCCTCTCATGAAGGTTATCATCTTCTGATGCATGGCCTTTTTTTTCTTTTAAATAAAAGGGCAAAATAATTTCTGGATCCTTGAACACATGAACTAATTTCCTCTCATGAAGGTTATCATCTTCTGATGCATAGCCTGCTTCCTTTTTTTATAAATAGCCAAAATAATTCTTCCTCAAATACATGGAACCCCTTCACATTTTAATGTCAATAAAACCCTTGAAGATTATTGTCTACAATCTTCAGCAATTGTTTAGTCTAACCAACCAAGCACACAGAAGGTTGGACTTTTTTTTATATGCAAACCAAAAAAGCAGTTCTAATCCCAGTCAACTGAGCTTGATCCTGGGAGGTGGAAGTGCTGAAGTGTGTGCAAGTGCAATGGCAGGGAAGAATAAGGCTATAATTTCCATCAAGGAGAAAAGGGAAATCTGCATTTTCAAAGAAAAAAATCCCAAAAGCAGTCAACAATTTCTGTCAAACCATTTTTCACTCCTGTGGGATAAGGACATTAGTCGCAGAGCAATTGGTGACATTTTAAGTCAAAAAGTGAAGTGGCTCCAAGAGGATCTGTCTGGAAACTTGGCCCGCCTTAAAGCAGCCAAGCATGAGGAGCTTGAGGAGGCACTTTTTATATGGATTGGACAAGTCAATGCCAAACATGGCTCTGTGACAGATGCTGTGATCAAGGCCCAAGCTGAAAAATTTGGAAAGGATCTTAAAATCACAGGCTTCAGCTACAGCAATGGATGGCTGGCTCGTTTCAAACAGAGAAAGGGACTCTCTCAAACAATCAGACATGGTGAAACAGCAGGAGTTGATGAAAATGTGGTTACTGAAGCCAAGAAAAGGCTATCTGCTATCATCAAGCAATACAGCAGAAGAGATGTCTACAATCAAGATGAAAGTGGCTTGTTCTATCGTATGCAGCCTGACAAGACCATTTCAACTGGGCCAGTGAAAGGATGCAAAAAAATAAAGGATAGAATTACAGTGGCCTTCTGTACAAATGCTGATGGCAGTGATAAAAGGACTGTGACTGTCATTGGAAAAGCTGCTCACCCCAGATGCTTTAAAAACTTCAATCCAGAGCTTTATGTGAACTACAGGCACAACAAAAAGGCATGGATGACTGCTGCAGAGTTCAGTGTGTGGCTTAAAAACCTTAATGCTGAAATGAAAATTAAGAAAAGGAACATTCTGTTGCTGCTGGACAATGCCACCTGTCATAAAAAGGAAACTTTGAGCAATGTGAGGATGGAATTCCTGCCTCCAAACTGCACTGGCACACTGCAGCCACTTGATGCAGGCATCATAAGGTGCTTCAAGGCTCATTACCGTCGACATCTAGTTCAGCATATTATTGAATGCATCAACAATGACAAGCCCATTGCAATCTCTTTGAAAGATGGAATCTACATGATCAAGAAGGCTTGGGATGCTGTGTCACCTGAAACCATTGTGAATAGTTGGGCTCATACTGGACTGACACAACATGAAACTCTTTTTGTTCCTGACAGCAAGGATGGCCAAAAAGAGCTCACAGCAGCATTAGAGCAACTTAATAAATGTACCCAGCTTGAGCAACCTATGAATGCAGAAGAGTTTCTTGACCTTGAATGCAATGCCCCAACAAATGAAGAATTGTCAGAGGATGAAATTATCAAGATTGTCAGCAATGAGGAAAATTGCCAAATATCCTCAGAAGAAGAAGAAGAGGTTGAAGAACAGCCTGTTCCAACAACAAAAGAAGCTAAGGAGGCACTTATGAAAGTGCGACTGATGAAATTATCAAGATTGTCAGCAATGAGGAAAATTGCCAAATATCCTCAGAAGAAGAAGAAGAGGTTGAAGAACAGCCTGTTCCAACAACAAAAGAAGCTAAGGAGGCACTTATTAAAGTGCGATGTTTCTTGGAGAAGCATTGTGAGGAGATCAGTGCCACAGATCATGTGATTGCTCTGGACAACCTCATTTCAAAAATTGGAGAGAAGAAGAAGAGGCAGACATCTATTCACAACTTTTTCATGCCTATCAATGCTCAAGGTAAGGAAAATTTTTTTCCCATTAGAATATTAAAATGTTACCTCTAGAAAATTAAATTTTAAAATTCACTATAAAAAAAATTTTAAAATTTACAATTTTAAAATTCATTATGTTGAAAAATCAATGTCATGTTGGGATGGCTTTTTAAAAATCCTGGAAATTTTTTGTATGTTCCAGGTGAATGAGCTGCTGATCTGAATCAATGAACTACAAGGGATGCATGGAGGATTCACAAAGACATTTATGAATACTCCTTTATGTGAAATTGTGCTTGTTGCAATCCCTGAAAATTTCGAAAAAAAATTCTTTAAAACTCGAATAAATTCGTTTGCTTTACTTATCTGCTGTGCTGCTTTCATTTTCCACGCACACCACCCTTTTTTTCATTTCCCCCGTTAAACCGCCACCCTTGTTAAACCGCCAAAATTTGCTGGAACAAACGTTGGAGGTTTAACGAGGTTTGACTGTATTTCCATTCTGCATAAATTTGTGCATGAGCCAAGAACTATCGAAAAAAATGTTTAAGGAGTATAAAACTTTGATTAGGTATAGAACAAAACAGAACTTTGGAATGAAAATTTTGGTTTATGAACTTAAAATAAAAGCGTCAGAATTCCAGACTCATTTGTAAAATAGACTAGGTTATCAAAACTGTGCTAATCAATTACTGTAATACAGCGTGGACCGGAGTAAACAAGATCGGCTCAATTTTTAACCCGAAAGAACGCCTGCAGAATACTAAGGCAAATGCTTTAAAATCCAATCAAATTTATTCAATTCTCTTTTAAATAGCTTCATGCATGGATATGACTTGTGCAGTATTTACTTTTAATAATATAAATCCAGAAAAAATGGTTCTTTGGGCATTCTTTAAAAAAATTTGAGGGATTTTCGAAAAGATCAGGCCGCTTACCCCACGGTTACAATGATTTATAGTCATCCATGCGATAAAATTTTGTAATTTTTTTTACTTACATTGATGTCACAGGCCTATCAACAATTTTAGAACATCTTTATCAACTGATATTCTTAATAGACATCATTGAGTAAGAGGGACATTTAATTTTTTATTTATTTATATTTCCTTCAACAGTTCCGCGAGCACAGAAAACATGTCCGAAGTTCTAAGGGCCGGGGAATTGAAAAATTTCAAATAAAGCACGAACACTTCAAAAAAGGAAAGCATTCCTTCATGCAATTGCTGAGAAAGAACTTACACATTGACGACTTAAGCTGACAAAATGAGGCGCAAAAATGTTTCTTGCTCGTCTCTCGCATTGTTCGAGTTCAATTGACCTTACTGCTATGTACCATTCATTTCCATACAGACCATTTGTTATTCCACACCCCATTAGGCTGGGAGCAAATATCTCCGGAATCCCCCACGCACGAATGTTCCTTGAAAAATGTAGATCAAAATTCAAGGCAAGTGCGGGCGAAAGTCATTCATTTCTTCACGCGGCGAAGTCCAAGTTCACCGGAGCAGCAATTTCTTTGTGTTGCAACTCGCGGCGTCGAGAGCCATTCGTGACTGATGCTCACGAAAAACTGTCAAAAAACTCCACGGTGTGTCAGAATATTCCCGTAAATATTCCGGAAAAGTCAGAAGCTCGCTCATATTGCATACATTTTTATCAATGAGTCAAGGTGCTGGTCCACATGATGCGAATCATTCGAATTGATCGTCAACGTGAATTTCCATTATTGGCGTGAACCCGCGTCAAATTTTTGTAACATTCGCATTTTATCTATCTTGCGAAACAATCTTTCTGCATTCCCAACGTTTTTTTTCTTCGTGTTTTCAAAAATAACCTGCAAAAATTATCGGATTGTGTCATTATGTCTGAAAAGAAACTAGAGTTAATTCTTACTTGCAATTAATCTGAGACAGGAACATGTGGAGTTTAATTTTCAGGCAATTCGTGATTCCTACAGTTGAACTAATCTATTACGTGGACAGAAGCAAACACGTATCTGGAAACAATCTCTTAGTTCATTATAAGAAAATTATACTCTATCTCAATTTTGACTGGGTCGTATAATTGCATGATCCGCAGGGAGGTTTATAATACTGTAATTAAACGTTAGAAAAAGGCACAAAGGGTTTATTGAGGGTCCTCTGAGGTTTCTCCTACTTCGGTATTAGTCTTCTGAATGATTCTGCCAACAACCAGCAACTTGATAACATTCTTAGTCTTCAAAGAAAAATTTCGAGATTTTCCAAAAATTCCATATTTTTTCTGATATACTTCATCATACGCTCAATTGACGACAATATCGCAATTCTATCGGCAACAGAATCCAGATTCAATATCTTGATTCCTGACTGAGATCTGCACATCAGTGATGGAAAGAGACCGACACGTTTTTTTCGTTTAACGTTTTTTTGTCTTTTTTCTGCGTCTATCGATAGCTAAAATTTTTTTATTTACATCAATGCAAGTCAAGATCTACGTCAAAATTTCCAAGCAGGATTCCTTCCACTAGAAACTGGATCACCGTCCAGATTTTTTGTATATCCCAAAGTGCAACCTTATTCCCCTAGTTTTCGAGGAACAGGTTCATCCTCAACTTCTAAAATACTTCATCGTATTTTTGGAATATCCTAAGAATGCTCCCTATAGCAAGTGAATACACTTGACCTCCCTCAGCTGATACTTTCCTGGATATAAATGTGCTTTCTTTACTTGAACAATGCGTCATAAAATAAAATATATACAGTACCACTTTTTGCGTCTTTAAAATATACGTAAGTTTGACGACAAATATTAGACGAGACGCGCGCGAACCTGTAATATTAAATTTCGTCAGCGCCAGATGAGTTCGTGGATTTTATATTCACGC